GAAAGAATAGAGCTGGTTGAATTGGTACAAAACCAGGAAGAATGTAGGCTTCAGGAGGAAATATAATTGGAACTGGCACAAAATTATAATTGTAAGCACTAGGAGTAATGACCCCTGCAGTTGTAGGAGGAATATGAATATGCTCTTGTGGATTTGAAGTTGAACCAAAAACCCCAGAATTAGTACCAGAAGAAATATTTGCATAATTAGAGCCTTGACTATAAAGTGCAGACATATTATGTGTTAACAAAGAAATTTCCCCTTCAAGTTCTTACTCAACCCCACGAAGTTGAGCCCTAAATTATTTTAGAGTGATTGATGATTCTCTTGCTAAAATGACAGTCCTGATAATGGCATACTCTTTTGGTAATTCAGCAAGATCAGCTATCATTACATCATTATCAAATACAAATTCCTTTCCAGCACTTAGTTGTTCTCTTATACTTTTCAATCTCAACAGGTACTTATCAATAGAATCAGACCCTTTTTGAATGGTATAGAGTTTAGTCTTTAGATGATTTACCCTTGATTTTGACACAGAAGCATATCTGTCAACCATATTGGACCAAGCCTCATTTGTAGTTTTACATCCAAGCCCATATTTCATGGCTTCATCAGATAATGTTGCTAGTAACAGACTAAGTAAAGCCATATCAGTTAACTCCCAATCAAGGAAAGATTGTGTTATCTCCTTTGTTACCCCAGTTTCTGTATGAATTACATATTTTGGTGGACACACAGTTATGCCATCAAAATGACCAAATAACTTTTGACCTTTCAAAATAGTCGTAAATTGAAAAGCCAATTTCAAGAAATTATCATCTTTCAACTTTATTGTAAGCATACCCAACAAATTCTCCACTTTAACCACTGAATTAGACATTTTCACAAAACTTTTAAACAACACTGCAGGATTTTACTTCAACTATAAAGAATGACACTTTCTCTGCATACACTATGTAGAAAGACTGATACTTTCTTAATACTCAAGAAAGAATGACACTTTCTTGATAAAACTTCATTCTGAGTTCAAGAACATTACAGTTTGAACAAAAATCTCATATCATTCAACTATTTGCAGAAATCCCAATTTGCCAGATTCAATCACGAATTTGCAGATACCAAGTATACTAGATGCAATCAAACCATATACTGAACTACTAACAAGAAACTGAATTGCGTAGTATGAAAGAAACAATATCACCTAATTAGATGAATTCTAAGACCTTCAAGAATGCAGAAAACTCCCAAAACTTTTTCACAAATCCAGATTATGACAAAACTTCGATTTCAGAGATGGCAAACTCAGAAAATTAGAGATCATGAATAGGAAATCGTAGCGGAAGTCCTCAGGATCAGATATGGCTGGAAGGCATAGCTGGCGATGATACCATCATAAAAATTCAGCAATACTGTCTAGACTATGGAATTGAGAAGAAAGTAATGAGCGGGAAGAAAGAGATTTGAGAGATAGAGAGAGAAAGTAGAGCTTTGTGTATTTCACATTAAAGTCAAATGACTATAACACTATGGTTATATAGAAACCATTCTTACAACAACAATGACTATATTGCCTTCTAACAATCTCCCTCTAACTAACTACAATCACAACTAACTCAATCAATTACACATTGACAAGTGTCGTCATCTTAGCTTTACAATTGTCAACATCTTAGTATGTCCATTACCTTCCCCTTTCCTTATCCTCTCATCCTTCTTTCCTTCTCCTTCTCTTCTCCCCTTCTCCTTCTCGCTTCAATTACCATGGATGAACAATTCAAGGAGCAACATTCTGAAACCAGTACGTTTTAAATTATTTGTATTACGTTCAGTTTGTGTTTTAAATTTTGATTATGTTATTAAATCGAGTTTGTATTTTGAATCTTCACTTGAGATACCTTATCAATTATTATGCATAAATTGAAAATTGGGCTTTGTTTAGAGCTTTTATGTAGGTTTTGTTTATGTAAATATGCATCCCAAATTTTTTTTTTTTTGGGTAATTAACAATGAGCAATGCCTCAACGGAGAACTCAGAGCTGTGGAATCCCAAATTGTATATTTTTCCCTTAACGAAGGATTGTCGCTTGATTAAGGAAGATGAAAAGGAAGTCAAATGTAGGTATATTTTTTTCCTTTTCTTACAAATTGTATAATTAGTAAAAGATTATAAACATTACTCAACGAACTTTTATATATATGAACAATATTATGGCGGATAATTATTGGCTTTTGTTTAGTATTATTTATTCCGTTATTAGTTTTGTTTATATTTATTTAAATTGTCATTTTTATATATTTTTTTAAATTATTAATATCTTTTCTATCGGTTATGAACGACATAATTGCACTTGTATCCGACAGAATTTCTTAGATTTAGTGTCGGTTGTATTCGACAGTAATGTTAGTGTCGGTTGTATTCGACAGTAATGTTAGTGTCGGTTGTATCCGACACTACTTTGCTTTATTTGTTTAATGAGCTTTCCTTTTTCTTGGCAGATTAAGAGTCCTATCCAACAACCAAAGTCTTTTGTGACGCAAGCAATGTTTTCGGTTCCTTTATCTGACATTACATGAATTTCTGTCGGATTTATTGCTAATATCCGATACAAATGGGCTTTTCTCGTCATTTTTAAGGTGACACTATTGAGTGCTTTTGTAGTAGTGAGGGTGTGTGAATAACACTATTCTTTTTTAAACTCGTGCTTTAATGGTTTATGTTAATGCATATTGCCTACATAGTCCACTCAATTCCAATACAGGTTATTATTTCATGTATATTTAGTAGAGGATAGGTAATAAATAATACCTTTTTTTGCTAAAAATAATAAATTAGTTCTATCTCCCCTCCCCCCTTCTATCCTATTCATTAAAGAAAAGTATCATTTACCCTATGCAATTTAGCCTTTGTACTTCGCACTCAAGAAAAGAAAAAGAATTTTCTTTAAGTTCACAATTAAATCCCTATCTTCGCAATTCCTTACTTTTTGTTGCAATTTTCCAATGAATGTAACCTTGGTACATTCTTAATCACTTTATTTACTTAATCTATATTTATTTAGTAGGTTAATTATTCATATGGTCTGTGAAGTTGTCGGTTAGGGTTATGATTTCAAGAATTGTTTATATTCTATTGTTGTTTTTTTTATATTGATTATAATTTTATATAAGAAAAAAAAATAAACATATGATTTTATGGTACTAATTTCAGCTAGCCCACCCAAGAAAAAAATCCTGACTCCGTCCTTGGCTAGCTAGTTATATAGTTATATGTGCATAGCAGATTAGACTTGCTTGGGTGCCCGGTTAGGCATCCTCTAGGTTGTGACTCTCACTTAAACATAAACTAGATAATTTTCATTTTGCATTTTATTTTTTAATAAATTGTGAAGAGACTTGTTATACTTAGATGAACGCACATTGTATGCTTGTTTTTCATGTTTTCATTATGTTTTATACTTTATAATTTATATGTCGTTTTATTTTGCAATTTATATATCTCAATGCAAATATTTATTTTTTTAAGTATAAGGAAACATGACACACCCCAACCAAAATCAAGGTGTGATGGTCGTCACCCTCAGGTGATGGCCAGCATGCCTTGATTTTGGTCGGGGTGTGTCAGTTTGGTATTAGAGCATAAGTAGCCTAAGTGCAGTCCAGTAGGACAAAAACTAATTATACAACACCCAAGGGTGACCATACAATGATGATAATCTGTCAGAGCTGCCGTGGATTTCTTACAAGCCACCAAAAAGCACTCCTAACTAGAACCTGGAAGGGCGCAAAACAGAAAGTGTGAGTGGGCAAAAACAAAACTTTTCAAAATCATTTCATTTCTCAAAAGTTCTAACCCTTCGCCATTAACTTCTGTTAAGGTTTTAACCGAATATTCCACGGAATATTCCTAATGGCATTTAACTATTTCGTTAGGGTTGGCCTCACATGGGGCACATCTGGCCGTGCCTTGGACGGTGCGTGGGTGGTCGGAAAAATTTTCTAAAAATATGGGGATGTTCGTGAAGTTAAGTAGATCACGTTGGTATATTCAATCACCCCATTTGAGCATTGTATGAGAAGTTATTAGCTAGTTTCATTTATGTGCTTTAAATTAACGTTTTATATAGTAGGTGACGGCCAACACATCTTGATTTTGGTCGGGGTGTGTCAAAACACTTATTTATACAATATATAATAATTTACCTAAATCCGTCTGCTTTGCCTAGGTTGGCGGCTAAGCCCCAACCCTTGTCCGACAAGCGCCTAGTATCTTTTAGAACCTTGTTTGTAACTAAGATATTTGAGAGTGAATCTCAGGAAATTAGGAACAATGCATATACTTATTAGGAGTTGAACTATGTATATTATTCACATGTTGATGCCCACAAAAAATTAAAGAATCTTGCATGTCATTATAAGGAGTTGAACCCACTACTTGATCGTGAAACCTCAATTTTTTTTCAATATGTGACTAGAAAAATATTGAAGAGAGGTAAAAAGTAAGTGTGATTTTTCGCAGTAACGAGCACTGAATGAAGAGATTAAATGATTTTCTGTGAACAAAAATAGAAGAAATGCACCACTGAAAATATAATTGATTTGGTTAGGCAAGAGTTATATTCAGTGGAAAGTGGGCATCAATGTGGCAACAAATCCTTGGAAAAAAAAAATAAATAAATAAAAAAAACTGGATAAAAAAATAAAAAAAACATGAGTCACTTTCTTAAGTCCTATAACGGTTGCTGGCTAGGAGAGAGCCTTGTAACTTTTGCTTGCCAGCGTTTCGAGAATTTAAGGGTATGTACGTAGTGTCCAAAGGCAAACTCACACCCTCTCTCTCTCTCTCTCTCTCTCTCTCTCTCTCTCTCTCTCTCTCTCTCTCTCTCTCAGTTTGGATGGTGATATTTTTTATTATTTCTGAAACATGAGCACATACGTCATATGTTATTATACAAATAGATGAATACATAAAAATAATTAGTTTTCCCCACTTATATAATGATATATGGCGTACTGTCCCATATTCTAAACACATTGAAAAATCTTTCCTTTGAATGGATAACAATATTCTCCTGATCATCTTTTCATGTGAACTCTTGTTGCTCTATAAGTTGCACCACCCAATACATGCCATGCAATGCAAGTGACCTAACAGCTAGCTCTCTCTCTCTCTCTCTCTCTCTCTCTCTCTCTCTCTCTCTCTCAGTTTGCAAGTTACAATCCAACCCACCAAAACTATACAAGACAACCCCCACCGACTTTGCTCCTCATTTCCTTCTTACGATTAATTAATATCCCAGCCCTTTAATTTCTTTGCCGTATTTATCTCTGCAATTCCTTCTTCTTCTTCTTCTTCTTCTTCTTTTGATCGAGCTTAATTAACTAGTGACGACTGACAACCATGGTTTCTGCAGATGCTATTCGAACTGTGGTCGGTATCATGGGTGAGTTACAGAGATATAATTTGGGTTGTATCACACAAGATTGCTATTTTAAAGCCTTAATCAGCATCTTTGAACTTAAATACGTGAGATTTGTATACTTGCTGGTTCTTGTTAGAAAGAAGAAATAAACTTTAAAGTTATTTTCTTTCATTTTTCAGGTGTATATATAGATTGCTTTATCATCTGAGAACCAAACTTGATATGAACGCCTTTACTTGTTTTCAGGAAACTTCAGCGCACTCACTCTGTTCCTCTCACCAGTGTAAGCATGGCTTTTCTCCATTTCTTGAATTTCAAGGCAAAATGATTTACATTTTTGAAAAAAAAAAATATTATAAACAATTTTTGTTATATCTAGACACATATATATTATATTTCGGACCTCCAATATTTTATTTCCATATTTTTCCCAATTTGAAGGTGACAACATTCTTTGTTCACTGAATCTACAACAGCCAAGTAGTATTCGTTTAGCAATCGCTCCTGCTTTTAACCAATCATAGATGAACACGTGTTCAATCTGTGTTAACAATTTCAATTATTTGGACACGTGTTTATTTATTGATGGGTAAAAGCAGAAGCTGCTGCTATATTTGTAGCAGCCAAGCAATATTCTTTGATTTTCACACAAAACACATTAATAATTTCCATATTTTCCATTTAATTTGTAGGGAAACCTTTGTTCGAATTTGGAAAAAAGGGTCAGTGGAGCAATACTCACCAGTCCCATACCTTGCAACCCTATTTAACTGCATGGCATGGGCCCTGTACGGATTGCCTATGGTGCACCCACACAGTATTCTGTTGGTGACCATCAATGCCACTGCAGTTTTCATTGAGCTTTCCTTCGTCATCCTCTTCCTCATCTACGCATCTGACAAGAAGCAGAGGCTCAAAGTGTTTCTCGTGCTGCTTTCGGAGCTCGTTTTCATGGTTCTTCTGGCATTTCTTGTTATCAAATTGGCCCACACATACAGCAAGAGGTCACTAATTGTTGGCCTAGTTTGCGTTCTAGGTAACATCGCGATGTATGCTTCACCTCTATCTGTCATGGTAATTAAGTTGGTAACTACCCTCCTAACCATATTTATTTATTCATCTTTTCATTTAAGGTCATGATAATTGGCCCGTATCAATACTAATTTTCAGTACCTGGTATATTATTGATACCTAGTTGATTAATTAATTAGATATATCGATTGAAAATGTTTTAAAACCTACTCCAACTCTTGGAGTAAAACTCAAATTTAGGTTCTAAACTACCACAACTTGCTCCAACCCTTTGACCAAATATGAGTTTTAAACTAGAACTCATTTTTAGGGTAAATTTAACCCAGAATTCCCTTGGGTAATGGACTGGCCTACTATATATGTATTTTTTTAGCTTTATATTTATAAATTCATTGAATCCAACGATTAAAATCTAATATGATCAAATCCAATGGTAAAAAAAATAACCTAACGGTCCAGATTTAAATCTAACGGTTAAAATAATTAAAAAAAGATATTTTTTCATGTGTTTTTAATATTCTTTAATAGTGTTCCACGTGTTTCATAGTGTTGGTTAAGTGATTTTTCAGTATTTATTGGAATATAAATACTTTTAGGTAAAACGTTCATAAAATTAAATCATGATAGCCTACATAATTTATTTTTTTTTAAAGTTACTTTAAGAAAAACAATATTATCCTAAATTCATTCTTTAAAAATCTTAGGCTAAAAATTTAACCCAAAAAAGCTGGACCAGAAAAAATGTTTATAGGTTAAGACCTAAATTTTATGGGTTAAAAGTAGTATCAAATAGTATCAAATACCAAATGATTTTGGAGTTAAACTACTATCAAATACCAAACAATTTTTATTTTTCTCATTTTATTATATGGGCCAGTAGCAATACTAATGTACGGCGCTTGGTATATTGTTCATGTATAGTTGAATAACAATGACAATGTTCTACATACGGTAAATTAATAATTTTTTTCCCTCATTTTTAACATATGCTAATCTATGGTGTTTTGGTGCATATATGACAGAAATTGGTGATAACGACAAAAAGTGTGGAATACATGCCGTTTTTCCTCTCATTGTTTATCTTTCTCAATAGCGTTGCCTGGTTCACATATGCTCAGCTCCGTTTTGACATCTACTTGACTGTAAGCACCTCAAACTCAAACTTTACTTAAAGTAAATCCTTCATCTAAGTTAATTAATCATGTCAGTTAAACATAAAACTGAATGCATAAATAATTAAGAAACACGTTTAGCTGTTTTTAGATTAAGTCAGTTGATCAAAGCACTACTTTCACTTTCTTACACTTAAGTTTGAATCCCCGTTTCTGTAATGGAATATATTTTTGCTAAACCAAAAATGATGAACATGGTTCTCATATGCACATATTTTGATCAAATTAAAATGGGCCTGTGGTGTGTTCATTTTCAGATTCCGAATGGGCTGGGCTTACTTTTTGGATCAGCTCAACTGCTTCTCTATGCTACATACCACAAGAACACAAAGAGACTGATGGCAGAAAGGAAAGCCAGACAATTCTGTTTGACAGAGGTGGTTTCGGGCAGAGATGAAACCAAAAACACTGGCAACACTCATCAGAACGGCCGGGTTCCCGCTCAGAACAACGGGACATGATCAACCCCACCATCGAAGTCTGCTGTTTGATAAGTCGAACGAGCAGGGACCCCGTCATCTACAAGTTTTAGCTCGTCTACACTATGTTACTAAATATCGTACAAATAGTTGGATTCATGATGCATGCATACAAGACCAAGAGTCTCGTACGCATGTAACTAGTACTTTTTCATAATTGTATGCAACCATTTCAAACGATCAATGATCCAATTTGTTTTGCGACTGAATTTATATATATATATATATTTTATATACATATTATTGGAGTTTTGAGTAGAAATCTCATTCTAACTCATTGTCTCATATTGGCCACCATCAAAAGTTTCTCACACTTTATAACATTTTGTACCTCTTACAAAGTGATTGGAGAGGTGGACCTTAGAGAGCAAAAATGAGCTTGAACCTTGGATTTGGCATTTGGGTTGTGATAATTAATATCAAAAGATGGGCTTTGGGGCTCGGGCTTTGATAATTTAATTCAATAATTAACATTTTTTTTAATTTCAAATTTAATTATTTAATTTTTAAAGTAACAGACTCATCTTTTCGGATGAAGTTTGAAGACGATGAAAGAATGCCTAGAGCTATGCACCCCTTTGAGCAGATGCTTCAAAAAAAAGCATTCCATATTCATACATGTTGCGAACATGCATATATGCATTATACATACATCCATCTATATGGCGTTTAGAACCAAGGAAAACGATCTTCTTCTTAAATACCAAAACCTTCTTGCTGAGAGAACCACAAAGATATTCAACAAGAACCGAGTTTTTCAATGCTAGAATCCTGGTTTGATCGTTGAATCCTTGTGAAGCAGACGTCCATCGAACTACAAGCACTAAATAGGTACGGAATTCTGTTTCAATAATATTGCAGTACACAAGCCTCAATCACTATTTTCACTTGTTTGATATTAATTTCATTTATTCATAATTTGCCAATTATTAAGTTGAATTTATTATTTATCAGCATATTCGTCTTTATTTCTATATATAGAAATTGTCATTGATTATTGATCATTATTATGCAGGCAATATTGGTGGAGGGGGAATCAAGCACCTGATCTCGCGTCCAGTGATAAATACATTGTACCAATTGAGCTACGAGCCTGTTGTAAATTATGGCCGTATTTTGGAGTAGCTAGTGCCGTAAGCTCTTGATAATGAAACTTCACAGAACAAAACTGAAGCAAACCTCAAAGAATCAATACCTAGACCTTGGCAAGAACAACAAATAAAATGGAAAACTTATACCTTTACTTAAAACCTAACACAAGAGGTTCCAAGATGGGACATTATCTCATGAATCGAGAGTCTGATCAGATTGATGCGTGATGTTCTACAAACTTCCGACACTCCTGCAGGTCTGCATCACAGGGTACAGGAACCCGTTCAAGGTCATAAGCCACACATTTGATGTCGAATGTGCCCCCTTCCAGTTTTAATTTCTTTGCCACTTCCTCTTTCGTGTCCACAATGCCTGAACTCATCGGCACGTGAAACCTAATAATGTATTCTTTATATGTGGCCTTTATGGTTACACTCTTCATTTCTTGCCTGCCCGTGATATGTGGCATTGTGTTGGATTGCCTGGGAGCTGAATCTGAAAATGGAGGGTTTACCATGGCAATTCTGTTTCCAGGACTACCTTGGCATGAACCATGACAAGTAGAGCTACAAGCACTTGCCTCCGTTGAGCTGTTTCCCCTGTTGGATGTGTTTGAGCCTTTACCCCTGTCTCACAGACACATGTTATGTTCCAGCAGAAGTTCCTCGTAACTCAGCATCCGCCCATCTAGCAAATGATTGTCAATCCCAGCTCGCCCCTCTGTTCCTGGTGAAGTAGAGGTGGGCGAGTCTTTCTTTTGTCCATCAACTTCACAAGGTTTAGAGCTTGGTGAGCCTTGTTGGTTAGAACCATTTAAAATAAGGAAAACTAATGAAAATGACTTGAAAACTTTGAGTTTTAACAACAAGGACGTGGACTTTTTAGTAAATAGCACCAGAATTAACTTTTTAGTATAAAAATGTAGTTTTTCGTTAAAGTGAACAGTACCGGGAGTTTTTCGTTAAAGTTCCCTCAAAATATAAGGCTGAGAAATGGAGCCAGCAGCAACAGGACATGGACTCGCAGTAAGAGGAGTTAAACCAAATGCAGCACCGTGAACTGATTCAATTATGCACTGTAGCTTAGTAAGAGAATGGTTGATCTTCTTGATCTTGCGAGATGGCCAGCGGGAGATTCCATGATGCCTGCAAATGCGCTTCATTGTAGTGGGACAAACTGCAAAACAAGAATTTCTTTCAAAACAACTTATCGCAATTGCTACTGAAAACCAAACGATCAAATATTTTAGACAAGGATTTTATCATTTTAGCATCTGTTGACACAGCATGAGCTTAACTGCAGGAAACAATATGATATGCGAGCCTACCTCCAAGACTCTTTGCAGCATCCTTAAGACTCCCTGCAAAATATTGTTGGAGAACGTCTAGACTAATTGATTTCTCTGCTTTTCCATGCTTCTTCTCCGGTTTCTTTTTTATGTTCTCTGGGAAAGAAATATTGTTTTCTCCACCCTCGTGAACATAATTTCTCCCATCATTTACAACATCATATCCCACCACTAACTGTGGTTTTGATGAATCTAGTTGCACCATCTCTTCTCTGTTAGGTAAGGCAGGCACTGGTGGTGATTCCACTGAACGGGGTATCAGTATACATTGAAGTCTTGTGGCAAGCCCATTATTTTTAGATGCTTGAACAATTTCAACTATTCCCTCCTCTTCAAGTACAATTCCAGAAGCAACACTGAGACTCCGGAAATGGTTCTTCATTATCGCCAATATAGAGCCCAACAAAGTTTGTTGTTCATGACTGTCTGTGATGCTTGGGGGCAGAAAAAATTCTAGAATGTAATCATCATTTCCAGTATGAGTGCTCTGTAAGCAGATAGCAAAAGAGCCGGCTAGCCCAAACATGCGTGCGTAGTGTGCTAAAGGGTATTCAGTTTTGCAGAATTGGGTAATGTCTTCGCAGAAGCATGCATTATGGGACAAAAATGCCCTCCCAGCAACCCCTTGACCCTTTTGTAAGTGATGTTCAACGCAGGCATCTCGAAAATGCCACATATGAGCATCTACAATGTAGAATGCAACATCAGTTGTGGACATGCAGACCTGTTCCATGCAACTGCCATCAAAGCTAGTACAGCTCTTCTGCAGGCCACCGCCATAAGCCAAAACATTTCGATGCATACAGGGAACCCACGTCTGAGCAAGTGGTAATTTGTGAGTTTCACTTACCACTATCAGTATGTTCAAGATTTCAGCCAATGCAGTTCGGCGACCTTTATTGCATATTTGAATCTGGTTACAAGAAGTGGCAAGAATATATCTGTGAGAACGAAGGAGGAAGAAATGAAAGAAAAGTTTCATATTTATTTTCTTGTTTTCATAAAGAACACCATACTTAGGCACACATCATTATTGCAGCTCACCTGCCTACTTGGATGATCCAGTATCTCTGAACTTTTCAAGCTTACTGCCTGCAGGAGAACAAAATTAAGTCAGTGACAAATCTCTTCATGTTTGATTTTTACTTAAGAAACCATATTGATTCTCCTTTGCTTTGTTCAAACCAATGGCTAAAAAATACGAGGGATGTGCAAGAGGCGGAAAAGGGTATCCAGAAACCATTTTCCTATTCCCATAACAAAATACAATCCGTCATGTACCATTTACCAAATAAGTAAAGCTTGTTTCAGAAAAGAACATCACACAAAATGCAATATATATGCATAGAAAAGAAAAAGAGTAACCCCCACCTCAAGTGCTTTGCAAACCTTATCAACCTCGGGACCATAGTTGATCAAAGGAGAAATCATTATGAGCTCAAGTACACCAACACAAGACCTTCCAGAGGGCTCAAACACGGGCAAAGCTAAGGTTCCCTGAACATTGTATTGCCGAGCATGGTGAAGCCGTGCATACTCTTTAATGGAGTAGTACTGAACATTTGGAGTCCATTCTGGCAATTTATGCTGGAAAACGCGGCCAGGAAGCCCAAGAACTCCATCACTCTCCCCATCCACAGAAAACATATACATCAGACAGGCCATCCTATACTGATGAAGTCTGATACACTGTGGATCAAGGACAAAGGGCTGCCCTAAAGTTGTGAGTACATACCGATTCCCATCCTTCACTGGTGCCCAAAACTGGGCTAGAACAGGTTGGTCAGTCAATTCCTTGAGGTACCTGAGTGCTTGAGTGATTTTCTCGTTAACTAAACTATAAACATCTGAACTTTCAAGAGGTTCCAGTCCTGAAAATGGTGATGGAAGCATTCTGTTATCCTTAGTCTCTGTTGACCCTTCCGTTACGGAATTAGAATTACCTGTATTTTGTGATATTGTAAAGAGAAAACATAAATGAGTGAACCTCTGGCTGCGACTCGAGACTGCAAATGCTAAACGAACAATATCGTAATCGGTTTGTAACTGGAGGGCACAAAGCAAGCCAATTAAAACTGCTTTAAATTCCTATACGAATTCTCAGGCCAAAAAGAAGAAAAAAAAAATTCTATACAATCTTAGAATCTCCCACCTCTTTCTATTATATGGAACTTTACAAACTTAAGGGCTTGGTTGGGACTGCTTCTGTAGGAAGCACTTTTGTTAGAAAGAACTTCTATTATAAACATGTCAAAATTTTCATCAAAATTTCCAAGTGCTTGCTACCTAAAGATGCACCTAGACTTCTCCAGAAAACGCTTCTGACCCAGAAGCGCTTTTTTAGTTTATATGACAATCATAATCAAGCACTTCAATATCAGATAATACTTTTAGCCCTTCCTTGTTGACCAGGAATGACAAAAATGCAACCTTTCGAGTATAACAGCTGTTTGGTTGCTAAGAAATGAGCAGAGAAAACACTTTTTTAGCCAAAAAAATAAGTGATTGTTGCTTAATTCCAACTGAATACTATGATTAGTAAAATTACCAAATCAATGTAATTAGTCCCTAATTAGAATCAAATTTAATACAGAAACCCAGAAAAGCATTTGTTCAGCTAAGTCAAACACAAGTCATTAGACAAACTTCTAATTAATTTCTGATTCCGAAGTAAAAAAATTCAATTAAAATAGAGTAAAAACGGATTGACCCAGAAAAGCATAAAAGACCACAACTTTCCCATGAAAAACTCACAAGAAACGAACTGAGAACGGTCAGAAAGAGCTTGACCAGCATGCCCGGCTAGCTTATAGTCACTTTCGACATCGCCGTCGGAAAAAGCCCACAAAGGGGTACAAGGCTGGTCATTGGGCGGCAACAAAAGCGGCGACGTGGGGTAGGAGAGAAAGTGAATCGGATCCAACGTGCACAAAACGTCGAGGTCGAAATCAAAGTCCATGAGCGCATCTTCTCTTTCGTTCTTTAGGTTCGGCGGAGTGGATGGCGTTTGGGTTTCGTATTCACGATCGGACATTTTCCGGGAAAGCGTTGGTTTTGTTTCGTCTTGTTTTTTTCCGGGAAAGTTGTATCCTTGTGGAAAAGAAATAGATGGGTTGTGGTAGAAAGAGTAAAGTCTACGAGCAACGGCAACAATTTGTAGCGTCTCAGTTTGATTCCATGGAATCCATGAATTGTTTTCTCTTATTAGTATTTTATTACAACCTGCGGTTGGGACCATGGATAAAGCAAGTATCGGGAAAATATCTTCTGTTGTGCAATTAACTAATAAATTGGTCGGCATTATACATGGGACGGAAAGCCGCGTATGCCTAATGCAATGGGTGACACTGCCATTGATGCGTAGTCCTTTTTTTTTTTTTTTTTTGATAGTCGTTTATACAACTAAAATAGAAAAACTCATTTTATTTCGAAACTGTTTGGTAATTCACGTGGCGCCGGGGGAATTTGGTTTATGTTGCTTCATATTAGGGTTTTCTATTGTTTGTTTTTTCAGCCTTCGAGGCTGAGTTTATCTGGACCCCTTGTATCTTGGGTTGGAGCTTTCATTTTGCTTGGATCTTTTACTTTATCTGTTGTTATTTACTTGGCTCTTTTTGAGGCTTGTACCAATTTTATAACTTGTTATTTTAACTATTGTTCTAAAAATCTCCGCCTAATCTATTAGTCACTGCCCCTGATTAATTCTTAAGTGTTTGAAAATTAATAAAGGGTGTCTAAACCCGTTTAGGTCGTGACTCTCATTTTGGCAGAAAATAAGTAACTTTCATTTTACATTTTATTTTTTTAATAAAATGTAAGAGACTTGTTGAATACTTTGACAAACACTCATTATATGTTTGCTCCCCATGTTTTCAATATGTTTTAATACTTCATAATCTTATACGTCATTTTATTTTTTCAATTCATGTATCTCTGTGCAATTATGTATTTTTTAAGGATAAATTGCACTTTATCACCTCAAGTTTGGGGTCGATTTCAATTTCTTACAACATCTTTAAAACATTTCAATTTCATACATCAAGTCCTATTTTATTGAAATATAATACATCCGTTACATTTTACATTCATTGATCCATTACGAGCTGACGTAGCTGCCATATTTGTACCACCTAGCTGCCAAACGTGTGCCATGTGGCAATTTTTTTTAATTAAAAAAAAAAACCCAGAAATCATCTTCATCTTCCCCACCCAAGCACCAGCCTTTCTCCTATCCCCATCACCCAGCCATTCCCACATAAATTTGAACTCATTCTCAAATCCAAAAAATACGAAAAACCTATATTCCCTATCAAAACTCCAACTCTTCCTAACCTCCGTCGTTGTCTGGTTTTCCAGCGATTCGACCTTCTCCTTCGACCACCCTTATCCATCATACCTACTCATCCCTTCCTTCCCGTCGACGTTGCACGCCTCAAACAAGCTCAGCTAGCGCGGCGTTGCAGATGACTCTCATGTTCTTCACAGCCCGTCTGATCTTCTGGGCTTGAGACACCAAGATCTCCATTTCCTCTTCGATTGCTTTTGAGGTTATTAAAAGGTTAAACGATCCCAAATTAGGGTTAAAATTCTTTGAGCTCAATAGGGTTAATTTGAGTAGTGTATGGACTTACAATTCTCTTTTGAGGTCTCTGTGTCAAATGGGGCTTCAAGATTTGCTAATTTTGATTTGTGTGTTCTAGAAGAAATGCAGAAATTTATGGGGGTTTGGAGGGAGAAGAGGAGGGAGAAGGAGGAAAAGGAAGAGCGATGGTGTAGTGGATCTGGGTCCTTGCAAAAGCAAGAGCAATGGTGGAGAAGGATAGGAACAATGGTGGAGAAGGAAAGGAGCTCTGGCACTCAAGGGTCCATCTAAGCCAGGTTGAGGTAGTACGATGTCAACGGGAAGGAAGGAATGGGTGGGGAAGACGATTTCTTGGTTTTTTATTTATTTTTATTTATTTATTATACTTTTCTTTAGTTAATTATTTTAATATTTTAAATTTTTTATCAAGTGTTTAGCCACGTGGCACAAAAGGGGCAGCCACATCATCCCAAATGGGGACCCCATATTTGCCAAATCATCACTTAACGGATTTTCTAACGGATGTATGAAATTGAAATAAAATGATAAGTAAATGTATAAAATTGAAATGTTTTAAAGATGTTGTAAGGAATTGAAATCGACCCTAAACCTGAGGGGGTAAAATGTAATTTACTCATTTTTTAACTATAAGAAGGAACTTATTTATAAAATATATAATACATTCACTTAAATCTGCCTAGTTCACCTAGGCGTTAGGCCCCAGCTAACTACCCTACTAGGACCTAGTGTCTTTTAGAATTTTGATTTTAACTATCTATTTATACATGCGGATGACTAAATATTGTATTTCTAGTTTTTACAACTAGTACATGTTTAGTGTCTTCTTTTGTTCTTTATATATTCACCAACTCTATGACGAGCAAAAACAATATTCTTGATGTTTTAATCCGTATTTTTAGTACTTATTTCATTTTCTTGTGAGTCGCAATGATAATAAACCGTGTTATGAATTTACTTTGTAAGAAACGTGAGTTTAAGTAAACTTTAAGCTTAACATGCTTTAATTTGAATGAATAAAAGCCAATGTACTATGACATTAACAATTTTTCCTGAAAAAAGAAAGAGTGTTGATAAACTTACCAGACTGTCTTATTTTCACGCCCATTTTTTAATAAAAAATTTTATACCAATTTTACCCTCTTGTAAAATGACATCTAAGAGCCAAAGAAAAAAGAAAGAAATAATATTTTTCTTCTCTCTTCACCCTCTATCTGCAGCTATCTCAACGATCCTTCAAATAAATATTTTCTCCATTTTTCATTCCTCCATTTTAATAATAACATAATTATTTAAAAAAATAAAAATAAAATGGAAGACCAGAAGATGAGGATGCAATTTTGGTAATGCGACATGAGCCTTGGTCGTCGGATTTGGAGGGGGAATGGATGAGGGTTGCGTTGGGGATGTGGAGAGAAGGAAGGAGAGTTGTAATCCGTTGGAGATCTAGGAAGTGACCGGATTCTAGAACTCTAACCGGAATAAAATTCAGGAAAGGAGGCCTTGGCGGTGATTGAGGCTTAGCTAGGCTTATTAGCACTCAAATATTTATTTTTCTGAAAATTAAAAAAGAACTTAGATATAGATTAGAGGGTATTTAATTATTAGTAAATTAGTAACAGAGGGTGATAAAATAGCATTTCAATTTTTGTAACTTTTTTTTTTTTTGGTAGATGAAATTATAATATAGATAGGAAAATAAGACACTGTAATAGATCTAGCAATACTCAAAAGAAAAAGTAACTGTACAAGTAAGTGGCCACAGCCTATGAGGCAATTACTTAAAAGGTTTTGCTAATGATATGATGATCCCAACTATTATTGTTTCTTGCAACAAAGTGACAAACTTTTCAGGAAAAAAGAAAAAAAGCTACTAGATTAGGGAGTCTGGTAGTTTCTTAAACAAAGGAGTTGTTAGATTTCCAAAATGTTAATTAGCTTTCTTAATGTTATGGACTAAGCTTAATTAATACTTTAGTTTGATTATCTGGAAGCTGATGTTGAAATTATAAAATATGGATGTCAAAACTAGTAATACAGTTGTTTATTTGGACATCATCGATTAGAATATTGGTTTTTTGTATATAATTGGATCCATTAGCGATAATGACGACCCATTGCATCCACTGATGACGATCCATTGCATCCACTAATATATTGATTACTAAAATGTCACTAATTTAGTGACGCAATACCAGACGTTTTTTTTTTTTTTCTTCCAATTGGACATGAGATTGAGAAACTGCGGCAAATACTCAGACGGTAGTTGTTATACAATTGGAAGGGGTTAGTGATTTGTGTGTTATTTTATTGATACATAGCGTAGTTTAGAGTATAATATTAATAAAAAGGTTTTATCACAGTTGACTTTTAAAATTAGACTAAACAATTAAAATGGTTTCGTAAGTCAATTCAGTCATTGACACTTAGTACTACGGTCTAGTGATATTCCTCTTTACTTGTAAGTGGAGAGGTCTTAGATTTGATTCTCGTCAAATGAGAATTTGAACCAAATTATTGCTAGCCTATTGTGAGACTAAACACATCCCCTCACATTTAGTGTAGATAATATCATCTTTAAAAAAACAAAAAACAAAAAAAAAATTAGTCATTGTGTCCTTCCATTAAATTTTCTGTCAGAGTGTTGATGTGAGACACGAGTTTTAAATATTGTTTTAAAAAGATATTTTATTATTGTTATTAGTAGTTTTATCAGTTTTAGTATTCAAATCTTTTTAAAAATAATAGTTTTTGGTGATCAATCCACATGGCACCGCGTAATTGGATAGGTGAGACTCATTAGTGTATCATGTTAGCACACTAACAAAAAAATTAGACGAAAATGCTACAAAATGACCAAATTGATTCGTGATACCTAATTCCAGAGATCATTTTGATTGAAAGGTCCTTTTTTTTTTTTTGTTGAACAAACGATACTATCAACCCTAAGAGAATGGGGGCCTGGGCTAAGCCTCACTATGGGTTAGCAATAATGTGGTTCAAATTCACCGTTGGCGAGAATCGAACCTAAAACCTTTCATTTATAACTAAAAATAAATATTACTAAATCGTAGTACTAAGTAACAAATCTTGATAAAACTTTATTAATAAATAATTTACGTACCAAGAACAATTGAACAGTAGTATTATATGACGATGTGACGATAACCTTGGGGGCCTTTTGTGTAATCGTAATTAGCGATTCTGGTTGGCTTGTATCGATCCACTTGTTCACTTGTCTCCTAACAAGTTGTGTTTGTTGGCCCGTGTGTATAAAAAGAGTGCATGTTTATCATTTGATAAAAAGGGTGCGTATTAAATTAAATAGATGAAATGAAAATAACGGTCGGACAAGTTGTGTGATATGATAAAAAGAGTGCATGTTTATCATTTGCCTTAAAAAATGGAACTGTTATTGACGTTTGAAGTGACCAATGAAAATTTTAGAGTACCAACAACAATTTTCTAAAAAAAAAAAAAATGTTGAGAACTATAAGTTTTACACAAATATATTAAGAGCTCATTTGGAGAGGAATAATAACCTAGTAGATTCATTGCCATATTCTAAATGATTTTTAGTTAAATTCTCCCCTTATTACCAAGTCGGTTATTTTTTTCCCTAAATTATAGTGGGTTTGAAGCGTTTTTTCACTAAAAAAATGTAATATTACCAAAGACTTATAATTAAAAAAAAAAAAAAACGTAGGGCCTGTTTGGTATTATTCTTGAATCTAACATTTTAAACTCAAAAACAATTTTCAAGTTTTAGACCTTAAACACTTGTTTGGTAGGACTATTTTCCAAAACTAAACTCAAGACTAACTAAAAAATATAATTTATTCTCTAAAAACATAAAAAGTGAGTTTTTAGATTTTTTAAACTTAAACTCACTCATTTCTTTTCTCTCCCTCTTCCCCTCTCACTCCAAATCTATATCTCTCTTTTCTTCTTTCTTTCTCCTCTTTTTTTTTATACCTTTTTCCTATCTCCTCCAATCCAATCAAGTTTAAGTCGTAAGATTTAAAAATTTTAAATCGCAAACCAATTAAGTTTTTTTTAGTCTTAAAAAAAAT